TGGCATTTACTGCTCCAAAGTCTTTGCCAGCACGTGGAAAAAGCTGGATGTGAGACCTCAGTGCTTACACAGCACACGAGGTGTTGTTATTAAACAATGGTTGTCGTTTCTTTGTTAAGATCAGAGGTGCACTAGAGCCACACAAGACTAGAATAAAGAAGTTTAATGCAAAAGTAGATTATTTTCTTGGTGGAAAAACCGGTAACTTGAGGTTTCTTACGGGAAAACAAACCCAATTTCTGCACTGGGAGGACTCTGAAGTGAAGAGGGAAGAATTCACAGAATTTTGTATCTGTAACAAAGCACCATTTTTTTTCTCTGTTCCTCTTCCAGCAATGGAAGAGGTTCCTGAGCCCTGGGACATCCTGTCAGTTGGCTTCTTCATCGCTGGCTTTGTCTTCAGAATCATCACTTTCATATTCCTCATCCTCATACTGGAAGGCCCCCTCGGCCTCAGGGTCAGACTGACCTTCCTCCTCCTGCTCCTGGGAGCGCTCAGACCCAGAGCTGGGGCTGGAATGATCCTCCTCCTGCTCCTCTTCCTCCTGGGAATGGCCAAGTGACTGACCTGCCTTTGCTTCCTCTTCCTCCTCCTCCTGGGAATGGCCAGGGGACAAGCCTGCCTTTGCTTCCTCCTCCTCTTCCTCGCTGTTCTGGACAGAGGGTGGGCTGGACTCGGGCTCAGGAGCATCAGGGCTGGCTCTGGGCTCTTCCTCATCCTCCAGCTCACTGCTCTGCTCATCTGGGGTGGAGGTTTTGACACCTTTTCCCTTGTCTTCCTCTTCCTCCTCCTCCCAGGACTGCTCAGAGTGGGGACTGTCCTCCGCTGCTCCCTCAAGGAATCCCCTTTCCCTCACTTTGATCTCGATGACTCTGAAAAGACAATTGGCAGGTGAGATTCTGTTTTCTGGGAAAGTACTTTTTAAAGTACCCTCCTGTAATCCAGGACAAATCCTGGTATTCTTGGCTGGGGTGGAACTGGGGAAGGAAAAGGGAAGGGAGGGGGACACACCAGAGTCTCTTTTATGCTAAAAAGTAACTCAACAGTATTGCCTGTATATTCTAATTTTTTTATTTCTGCTTCCCTTTAAATCATAACACTTAATGGATATTGAAAATGAATTTTTATAAGGCTTATTTAAAAAAAAAATTAACTTTAAATTTTAAATCAGGTTTAAATTTAAACCTTCATCAGGTAATGACAAATGAAGTGACTGCACTAGCAACCTGCCAGAATTTTTGGTGAAAGGAACAAATAAAAAAATGTTTTTCTTCATTTTTCTTACATAACCAGTGCTCTCTTCCGTTTCATGAAATAATATTTAATTCAGGAAGAACAATAAAAAGCACATGCTACCACTAACATTAGTAAAGCAAACCACACAGTCAAACAGTTCCCTGGGAAATACTGCAAATAATTTAAAAAAACACCCCAAATCTACACACTAAAAATGTCTTTCGAATTATTAGATGTGCAGTGGGTGAGAAAAACAAAAGCCTTCAGTAATCTCTACCTTTCTCTGGCATCAGTGGAGATGAAATCTTCAGCAGTGGAGCATTGGAGCACAATAGTTGTTTGTCCTTTCTTTGCAACAAACTCTGGGTTTATCCCCAGTGCTCTCAGTCTGTTGGAATAATGCTTTTCTGCAGCTATTCTGGCATTTTTCTGTGGAAAAACCACAATGGTTCTGTGTTATCTAATGCATTGAATGCCTGCCTTTGGATGCTTTTATTGAGATTAATCCTCTGTTTCATTAATTGCAGCTGACAAGTGGAATGATTGTTCACTGCAGGTAAGAATGGCAAAGCAATACTTGAAAATTTTACATCAGATTTTCCTTTCCTGTGCTGGCAATTTTTGGTTGTGGTCAGAGCTCTGAACTGGACACACTTACAATGGTTAGTCACAAAAATTAGTAACATTTACGTGGGGCAACAGAGATTGAAACAGATAAATGCTGATCTAAAAAATGTTTTTCAAGTGTCTCCTAAACATGTTTGACTACAAATGTCTTATTCAGTAGCTGCAGTTAAGAATTGAGCAGTAACACAGAAACAAGGCAACCTGAGTGACTCTTTCAAAAAGCAAAGGCCTCTGTTTTACTCTTTCTTCCATTTCTTGCAACTCTTGCAAATATTCCTGCCTTCTCCGCTTCTCATCGTTCCTAAGGGAAGCAGAGCACAGGAGAAATTGTTATTAATTCATAATACAACAAGTGACTTTTTACACCAGCTAAATTGCTCATAACAAACTAAATATTGTCCCACTTAAAGATAAATAAAAGGTAAGTACTGAACGAACCCGTCTCTGAAGTTGTCACTTGGGCTAAGCAGAGGCAGGTTACTGAGGTTAAACAGAGGCTGAGTTTGGATTCTTGGAGGTTTTGGGGATCTTAAAAACAAAAATTTGGATACTTGAGGGTTTCTAAATGCTGCTTTCACACAGATCTTCCATCTGCTCTAAGCAAAATTAAACAGAGTGCACCACAGGATGTAAATAGCATTAAATAAAAATCAGTGCTTTTAAAGTTTGGTGAGATTCCTGCTGCTTTTGCAGTTGATCTCCCATAGAACACTTTATTCCTAGTTGGCTTTTCAGGGGCCCAGTCAATAGAGCAGGATGATGAAACTGTTGATTCATCAACTGAAATGGTCATTTGGATCACAGCAAGCACTGGATAATCCAGGTGGGATGGGTGGTAATCCTCAGTGTGTGACAGACACCTCACTGGGTCAAGGATGAGATCCAGGGGGCATTTTACCCTCCTGTCTCCTCCTGCCTCTCTCCCTGCCCATCTCTGAATTCCTGGGACGTGGCTGGGACGTGGGGAGTGAACTTCCTTGTTGCTCCTTGCTTGGAAGAGCACTTGCCCTAACAGACCTCGTTCCCCAGCTGCTGAAATGAGCATTATCAGGTTAAACCCTTGGAGCAGCCCCAGAGCATCAGCACCAGGGAAATAACCTTGCTTTGTAATAGCATCACTTTATGTGCAGACAAGAATTAAGCCATGAGTGTTTTACAGAGCTCCTCAAATCTGATTAAGCTGAACACTGCAGTGTGAATTTTGCTGGTGAATGAACTCAAACCAAATCTGCACAAACACCCACTGTCTCTCTTCACTCTCCACCTACTCTGACTCCAATTGTTTTTTGCTTCTGTCCCAGAGCCAGCAGATCATCTCCAAGGACACATATGTTATAAAGCTCCTGTTCCAAACAGAATGCCTGGTTACTGGAAATCAGGAGTCCTGTTTGCCCAGGAATCCTGCCCAGGCATGAAGCAGCAGGGGCAGAGCAGCCCATGCCTCTCACCATCTCCACACAACAGCACCTGAAGCTGGTGATCCTCCTGCAGTGCCATCGTGCCAGGCCAGATCACAAACCTCACTAAAGACTCAAAGAGGATTAATTTTTTTGTAAGATTAAAAAGAGCAAGAAGCAGAAATGGTTTTAAATCAGCCCCAGACACCAGGTCAAGCAGCAGTTGTGGGGTTAGATCCGTGTCAGAGAGCTGGAGCCACCTGGAGTGCCAGCTCCCAGCACTGGTGTCATTGCCTGGATGCTGCTTCCCTCAGTCATACAGAAACAGTCTTTCAGTTGTATCTCTCCTACAGGTAACTTTGCATCCCACTCCTCCCAAACACCAGCAGCTTCCTGGGTAGCTGCTCTTACATGTGTGAAGTTAAAATAATATTCCTGCTCCAATCTTCCCTCTCCAGTGGGGCCTGCAGGGACAAAGAAATGACTTGTGGAATGTTCACTGCCCCAAGGTACCAGTGCAGTATCCAGCTGTGCAAGGATATTCTGTAACTACACTGTTCCTTTTCCTTTGAATTGTTATAAACTTTTCCTCTTTAGTTGATGTGTTAATTGAGCAAACACAGGAGTCCCCTGTTAGCTAATCTGTAATACTCTAAGGTGGAATACATATTTCTATATATATGTTCTAATGATTTTCAGATTTTGGCAACAATTTCCCAGTTGAAACACTAAATTTGACCATTTTGACTATCTGCTTGCACAATGTTTAATTTATCACGTCATCATGGTAACTTAGACTATTTTTTTACACATCGTATGTTTAACATACAATGCAATCCTGAACCTCCCATTCTCATTGTTGGATGAGAGGTTCTGGATTCAGGGGAATGCCACAAAATACCTGAATGTTTTTAATTTGGATTTAGACATCTGAGCAAGGCTCTGATGTGGGTCAATGGCCTCAGCCCGAGCCAGTACAATTTTCTGGAATTTTTTCTTTCTTTGTTTCTGCTTTGTTCTGTTCCTTTTTTGTTGTTCTTCCAGCTTTCTCTTTTCCTCAAGTGAATTCCTGGTGGGGAAAATAAACTAAGGCTGAATTCATATTAAATCAAGAGCACCACTTCAAAGGAAGCTTTGGCAAAGATGATTCCAAGGAGGAAAACGGGGTTGCCATGAGAGGACACAAAGTATGTGCCATTTTAAGGGATTCAGGATATCCTGGGAAACAGCAGTCATTCATCCCTTTCCTAGGGACATTCTGAGAAAAATTCACTATTGTTTCTTCAACAATCATAAATTTAAAGTATGTTGGTTTATATTATTTTAAGTTTTATATTATAATTAAGCCCTTATATTAACAAATTCAGTCCTGTATTTACTGCATGGAAGAATTAACTACATGTGTAGAAATAATAAAAAAAATTAAATCTACTTTTAAAGTACATATAAAGTAGAACATCTCTAAGTAGTCACCTTAAGGCTTGTAGCCTTCGTCTGGTGGACTCTGTGTTTTTGGGAGACTTGGATTTTCCAGCTCCCAAGAGTTGGGAATTCTCACTTGAATGTCTCATTTGGGGTTTCCGTCTGGGAGAGGCAAATGGCCACCGGGTTTCCTTCAGCTTCTCTTCATCCTCCTCAATGTCCTTCAGAATCTTGCCCTTGTTTGAGGGGATGTATGAAGTCAGAAGGTTGAAGGGCTCACACACTGTGAGGTCTTTCACTTGCCTTTGCTGCAGGAGCCGTTTCTGGAATCTCTCATATAACCTTTCAAAGTCTGGAATGCTGGAGTTGATCCTGGGTTTGTGTGCTGTTTGTTTTGGGTCAGTGCTCTTGTGTTTCTTGGTTTTTTTGGTCTCTTTTAAGGCCAGCCTGCTGTTGGGGACAGAGGAATTACGCAGCATCTCCTCAGCTCTCATCCTGATCCTGATTTCCCTGTAGAGCTCCTCCTCCTTCAGCCTCTCATTAAAATCTGGGCTATAAACACACTTGGGAACCGGTTTTGCTCTGAACACTTTGGCTGGACTTTCAGGCACGGAAATGTCTCTTAACTGCATTTTCCTGATTTCACTCCTTTGCCTCTCTCGTTCAATGAATTTAAAGGGTTTCTGGGAAGCCAAGAGCTTGAGTTTGCTCCTCTCCTTCACAGACCTCCTGCGCTCCTCGTTCCGCTGCACGATGTCGTGGTAGAGCGGGAGGAAGACGGCGGCGGGCACCGGGTTGGCCCGGAATTTTTTCTGGCACTCTGCTTCTTCCTCCAGCTGCTTCTTCAGTAAGTGATTCTCCAGTTCGATCCGTGACTTGGATTTAACGTTCTGTTCTTTCTTCTGAGCTTCTCTGATGGTCATCTGGAAAGGCTTGGGCACGGTGACTTTGGGGGACCACTCCTTGGGTTTCTTCCGGGCCTTCCTGCAGGTGGGCGAGGCGGGCGGGCTGTCTGGGAGGCGGGAGATGTAGTCTTCCATGGAGAACCCATCCCACATCTTCTCAATCCGTTGCTTAGCCAACGAGGATGATCCGGCTTCACTCCCGTTTCCTTCAAATACTAATTCCACGTCAGACACGTCGGATATAGTTGAGCCCAAGGGATCACTTAAGTCGGAGTCTGAAAAGGATTTGTGCAAGTTTAGAGGCTGATACGAGCTCCTGTCCCAAGTTGGCCTTGAAAAAAGGGGGGAAAAAAAGCTTGGTTTGAGCCAGTCCAACATTGGTGCAAAGCCAGTAAATTCACTTTAAGGAATCATTGCTAGAAACAAAAAGGACAGGGGCTGAGGAGGACGAGAAGGGAAAAGAGCAGCACTCTGGGCACCAGATCCCAGTTTTAGTGCTGATCACCAAGTCAGCACTTCCTAGGGAAAGGCCCTGTGCTTTCCTAAACATGCTGCCCAGTCCCTGCTGCACACCCTCCTCTGAACCTCACAGACTGTTAGCGAGGTGATGAGCATTTTTATTATTAAAACTGACTGTTCTCTGGTCATCTGCTCACAGGAGACGGTGAGACGAACACTTTCCAGCCCCACAAACACAGCCTGCTGTTTTACAGCTCCCTGCAAAGCACCTGGGAATCCTCAGATAAAAAGTGCCCCCCAACTTACCTACAAGAGTTAAAAGAGGTGTCCTTTCTCTTGTCCAAGGGTTGTGCTCCTCTTAAATGCAGTTTGTTCCGATACATACTTTCCAATTTTTTCATGGTCTCCAGGTGGGCATTCTTCAACTCTTCCAGCTTCAAGTAATACTCTTGATTTGAATTGCATATTTTGGAGAAGTCTATCCACTTGTCACAGTCTCCTTTTAGAGGGGGGGTCTGCGCTCTGTTGGTGTTTGAATCCAAATCAAAGCCATCCTGGAAAAGATGTTTGTAAAATTTTCTGTTAGAAGAAAGGGGAACGAGGTTCTCAATGTTGCTTTATTCTAATTTAGTCTAATGGATGATACAGTAACACCAAATAGAGTTAACCTGTATACAAATGTTACTGCAGAGCTCCGTGGGATAATCTTATTTCATGTTAATTTATGTCCTGGGGGTCCTATTTAAAGCCTGTAAAAATTCCCAAGTCTGTCCTGTTATCAATATATTTATAACAGGAATTATGATCAAAAGGACTTACCAAAAGAAAAAACTATTTTGTAAAGTGCAGTTTTTCCTTGATCACTATGCAGCTCTAAAAAAGCCTTTAGTTAAAAGCAAACAAAACCCCAACAGAACCTTCTCTGCCTCCCATTGCCATAAGAATTCTAAAAATAAGTCATTAGAGATCTGGTGTATAAAAGTTTATTCCCATTTCCATAACTTACTGTGAGATGACAGGGATTCTGCACAGCTTATATGTCCAATACTGTTGGAACTATATATGCCAGCCTATATATGACTATATATAAAACATATATATAACTATACTGCCAGCACTGGCAGCTGTGTGCAGGTAATATTCTTTAAACATTTTTAAAGCTTACACAAGTCAGGGAAGTTACTAAAGTCAGGTTAATCTGCATTACAAAGGCTTCATTTTGTCCTTTAAAAAAAAAAAAAATCACGGGGCAGTTTCTCTGTCCTGAAAATTAGAATACAACTTTTCCACACCGGAGCTATTTTAATAAGCTTTGACATTCCGACAGAAAGTCTTGTAGGTTTTCACAGCAAAAATCCCTTAACTCTGGCGTGGAAGAAATGAGTGGCCCAAACGCAACGGGAATTCCACGATCACAGAGGGAAATTCAAAGCGTTGTTAGAGAACCCCCAGCGAGGGGCATTATCCACCTCTCCCTGGATCTGCGTGTAAACCCCGCGGAGCGCTCCGAGCCTCTTCCCTGGGCTCGGGCACCGCCAGCTCCCACATCTGCTCTCCAGCCGCCGGGGTGCCCAAGCTCATTAAGGGATTGGCGCTGCCGCGGGGCCGCCCATCTGCCAGGCCTCTCCCTGCCTCTCCCTGCACCTCGTGCCCCGTTCCAAGCCGGGAGGTGCCGACCCGGCTCGGGCTCGCGGTGCCGGGAGGTCCCTCCCCGGGGCAGGGCGGGTCCGGGCGAGCCCTTCCCGCCGTGCCAGGGATGCCCGAAGCGCCCCGCGGTACCTGGGCGGAGGGTGCGGGCGGCGGGCCCCGCTCGTAGAGCGCGGCGGGCGCTCTGGTGCGCGGGTCCAGCGGGGTGCGCAGGCAGGACGCGGCCAGACGGGCCGCCCGGTGCGCCTCCTCCATCCCGGCACCGGGGCGCCCAGCGGGCCGGGCGGGAAGCACGGAGGGAAGCGGGGACGGAGGAAGGGAGGGAAGGAAGGAGGGAGGGAGGGAGGGAGGTGGCTCCCGCTCCGCCCCCGCGCGTTATAACCGCCCTGCCCCGAGCCCGCCCCGCTCCCGCAGGGACCGGCACCGCAGCGTCCTCTGCGCCCGCGGGGAGCGGGCCAGTGAAGTCCGGGGCTGGAGCCTGACTCCATCCCCTCTCCGCACCTGCTGCGATCCTGATTTTTAGGCAGGATTTTAGTCGGAACCTGCAGCTCCCTCCTCGACAAGATCGCGGTTTTTACGCCCTCAAGTCGCTAAAGAAGCTTTTTCCATCTTGAAGTTTGTGCTTCAGGTAAGCAGTAACAGAATACAGCTAAAGCAGGATAAGCAGGAGTGTTCTTCTGCAGGAATATTCTATCCTACACTAGGATAAGCAGGAATATTGTCCTGCAGGAATAATCTATCCTAAACTAGGATAAGCAGGAATATTCTTCTGCAGGAATATTCTGCCCCGGGAATAGTCTATCCCAAATCAGTATAAGCAGGAATATTCTTCTGCAGGAACATTCTGCCCTAGGAATAGTCTATCCTAAATCAGGCTAAGCAGGAATGTTCTGCCTCTGCAGAGGCACATTAATGACTGATGGACCTAGTTGTTGTAGTGGAATAAAATACTTTTTATGTAAAGAAAGAACATACTTTTTATGTAAAGAAATATGAGAAGATGAAATCACACCTGATTGTTGTTGTAGGTCTTGTGGAGAATTGGAAGTTTGTGACAGTGGGAAATGAAAGCTTTAATCAAAGTGAGTAAGTACCTAAACTAAGAGATCACTGCTGGATGTAACCCCTGTGGGGTAAGGCATCGTTTGCAATTTTAATCAGCCAATAAATAATTCATGCAGAGCATTAATACCTAAATCAACTGTCTAATTTATGTATTTTTATTTTAATTATTCTCTGTGTTCTACTTGGCAAGTCACAGGGAAGGATTTCAGCAACAGCAGGTCAACAACACGGTGGAAATTTCCTCAAAGGCTCCAGCTCCAATCAGTCCTGAACGGAAGTGTGAGTGAGGCTCACGGAAGGAATAAACATAAAGAGGAATTGGGTTCTTTCAATATAGTAGTAATGGAGATGAAAGGGTTAATTCAAAAGGTCAGGCTAAGGATTAGAAGTTGTAGAAGTGTAACTTGCATTATTATAGACAATACTTTTTGACTTCTCAGTCACAATTAATTTGGGGGTAGGCGGAGGAAACCATGTGTAAAGAGCACCCTTTGTAATACTCTGGCTCGTGAGATGGCATCAGGAGTCACTGCCAACTTCAGGAGACAGAACAGAGCAGGGAATGTGACAGTGCTCCCCAGTGCTGTCACTGCACAGATCCTCCTCCTCTCCAGCCCGGCATCATCAAGGGCAGTGACACCACTCCCTCAGGGAAAGCTTTTGGAGAAGCAGCTCTAACTCAGCATGTTACTGGAGTGCACTTCAGGGCTGTTCTTAGAACACATCACAAGGGCCAATTAGTTGCTGTTAAACTTTTCAGAGGTGAGTGGGAGCACAGAGCATGGAAAAGCAAATGTAAAACATTGTTTTATAATTCTGCTAGAAATACAGTAAAGACTTGGTGGGCTACTGTGTGTTTATTGATAAACAGCATTTCCTTTTCAAAAACAAACTGTTTTTAAGTTAACCTGATCAAAGTACACAAGTCTCAGTGGAGTTTAAGACAATTCACACAGGCGCTTTTGGTGAGGAAACCGTATTCCAGGTTCCAGGGCAGGAGCCCTTGGGCACAGTCCCTCCTCTGCTCAGCTCAGCCTCGAGTGTTCACCTGCAAAGAGTTCACACAGTCAGGCATAAGAAATCACAGGATACATCACAATTACTTATTTGCTTAAAGATCCTGGGGTTTGGTGGCTCTAACTCCTTGCTTTAAGGTGCAGTATGTATAAAGCGTTTTTGTCCCAACTGCTGTTACTAAAAGGCCAAATGGTCTTAAGTAGCACATAAACAGAGAATGCTACACAGTAATTGTATTCTGAAGCACAGCAAGTTAATGCTGTGAACTATCCTGGTGCTTGTGAAGGAAAGATGAACCAAAACACGCCACCAACACCACTCACCACATCATCGATCTTGAGAATGCTGCGCACGGTCTCTGTCGCCAGAGTCAGCGCGCTCAGGGACACCAGCAGAGGCTGCACAACCAGCTCCTCCAGGATGTTGGAAATGCCACCCTGTGGGAACAAGGAGCCTTTAGTTTGTGCAAGTCAGACTACACTTAGATTTAGCACAGTTTTTTTTAGTAGTATCCTGAGGACAGTCAATTCCTAGACTATCACAGGGCTTGTCCTCCTCTATTTTCAACAGGAGTGTTACAGAACACATCTCTCCCCAGACACTTGACATACCCTGTCAAAATTAGCCAAGGGAAAAGCTCAACAGTGACAACTGAAAAGAAGCGGGGCTGTGGTGCTACTCCTAACACATGAGCACCTTCCACTGCAGATCATACTGATGGATGAGTCTAAATGGATCTACTGTTGTAGCTGAAATGCTTTTGTAGAGACACAGGATCCTTCTTGTCCTGTGGGTAAGGTTTATATAATATCTCCTGTTACCAATGCTCAGGGTGAGCTGTTTGTTGAGGGAAACTGTAGTTTCCCTCGATGCTAATTTTAGGGAGACTGTTACGAGACAAGAACTTGCCCTCTCACTAGTCCAGCCCTACGGCGAAGCATTTTCCAGGTGTCATAACTCCTTCTTACCTTCCTGACGTTAATGCCAGCTGTTTTCTCTCCTTGGGCATGTCTGTTCCTCAGCTCTGTCACTGTGGAAATAGGGTTGAGCCCTGCATTCTCAGCCAGGGTGGAGGGGATCACCTCCAGGGCATCCCCGTAGGCACGGACGCAGTAGGAGTCCATGCCCTTCAGGGTCCGGGCGTACTCGTTGAGCCGCAGTGCCAGCTCGATCTCTGGGGCTCCTCCTCCTGCAATCAGAGCTCTGGGGGCAGAAGGGAACACCAAACCTCATCACAATCAGGCTTTGTGTGTTACTAACTCACCACATGAACCAAATGGTGTCGTTACCTTTTCTTAACTAAGCATCTTATGACACACAGGGCATCGTGAATGGAGCGCTCGGCTTCCTCCAGGACGAGTTTGTTGGATCCACGGACCACGATGCTCACAGTTTTTCCAGGGTTTGTGCAGCCTGTAATCTAAAACATAAAACCAAATACTAAGACTGGGGGGGGGGAGAAAAGGTTCTGGACAAAAAGACACTTCCATCGGTGTTTTCAAGTTCTGTAACAGCACTGATGTCTGGCCAAGCAAAACCACGGCACTGCCCAAGCTGGTGCTACTCAGAGCTTAGAAGCAGGTAGTTAAATGTAATAAATTCAGTAATAAAAGCCATTAAAGTTATCAATTGTTATTAAAACAGCTGGCAGATGTTAAGCTGTATTAACATTCTGTCCCTCACTCACCTTTATTAGTTTCCCAGAACCATTCAGGTTGACCTCCTCTGCCAGCTCAGCAGAGCCCAGCATGTCAGGGGTGAACTGGTCAATGTGAGCCACAGGCTTAGTTCCAATTGTCTGAAAAAATAATGGGAAAAAAAATTAATCCAGAGGCTGACTGCAGAGTCAGCAAGTACCCTGCATGTTGTTCTTCTGCTTATTACAGTAAAACAGAGTGTCAGGGCTGTGGCTTTTACATCCGTCCTGAATCCTTCTAAAAGTGTGGCTGTTCAACAGAATGTGAATGGTTTTTAGGGAAATGGATGTTTTTGCATTATAGTCAAAACATGAAGCTTGAGAAAGTGTCATAATAAACTGGCCCTGGCTGGGCAGTTAGCTTTGGGGTAGATTTTAAACACTGCTACTAATTTATATAACCCACTTTACCTTGCATATAAACTCAATGTCTTCTCTTTCAATGTCTTTGACCACCATGATCTTAACTTTGTTCAGAAAATGGAGGGCCAGGTCACTGAGAGCATCCCTGAAAATGAGAGGGAAGAAATCAGGCCACAGTGCTCAAATTCCTTCAGAGTACAAAGTAAGGATGTCATGAAACTCAAAATAGAGACAATGAGAGTACTTTCTAAAGGTACAGTCACTGTTACTCTGCCAGGTGTGACTGTTACTATTTGGCTTAATTTTTCCAGGTTTTCCAAACAATTCAAAGTGTTCCCTGAAACACAGACAGAAAGCCACCAATTTGGTATTAACATACCTAAGAATAGACTTCTGAATTAGCAGGACATTGCACCCAGCCTTCTTTATCTGCTTCACCAAATTCAGAATATAGGCTCTCTCTTCACGCAGGACTCTGTCCATTTGAGCATAATCAGAAACAACTATCTGGTTGTCCATCTATTTAAGAATAGAAAATAAAAGAGAAAAGCAACCATGAGCACCTGCTGACTTAAAAAGCAAGTGTCCAAACATTCCATGTTCTTTAATTTAGCACCCTGTGATTCAAAGCCAACAAGCACAACAGTAAAATACATCTTATTAGAAATGGTTCAGTATTTCTTATCATTTTAAACAATTTTGGTTTTTCATACCAACTGTAAGTTTTTTTAAGACCCAGCAGACCTTCCCTCGAGCTGTGGCACAGAGCTGACATCACAGCATCTTAAAAAAACACCTGTCACCATTACATTTGCATCTCCCAAGTAAGTCCCAGAGCACGAGGTTTCTCTCTAGTCCCAGTCTGACTTACATCTGTCTTTGGAGCTGACAAGCAAAACTGGATGAGGCCAATTTTGGCTTTTTCCACTCTGGTCACGCCGGTATTTGCCACTTTCTGAGTCAGGACCAGTCCTTCAACCAGTTCACAATCATCGATTGTGCCTCTGGAAACAAACACAAGCCATGACTGGAGCTCTGGGAAGATGATTTCACAGGGATAAAATTCATCCAGTTACAAGTTGTTTCTTACCCCAACTTCTTAACAATTTTAATATCTCTGAGGTCCACGCTGTTGGCTGTAGTTGGGTCAATCACCTTCATCACGGCATCCACACTCATTGGAGAAAGCAAACTGGAATACTGACACACAACCTAAGGGATTTGATAATGAAGAGAGATTTAACACTGAGAAACAGCAATTTCCAAACAATGTTGTCATTGCACTTCAGTGTTTGACTTTGGAATTTTGAATCAAAGCTTGTTTTCCCTCCCTGCCCACCCAGTGTCTCAACAAGGCATTTTCCTGACGGCTGCTCCAAGGAGCGATGCCGGTGGGGAAATCCCAAAGACAACTGAATTTCTCTTTCTTAGAAAGGCTCTTAAAGTGAGACTTGTGAGCCTGGATTTACGATGTTCAGGGTATTGTTAGTAAGGGAAGAGCAGCACAGAGTGGGAAAAGCTGGAAGGCCTGGCTTGGCTGGAGGTTCCCAGTCCAGGAGCTGCCGTACCTTTGAATTCAGCGAAGTCGTTGCACTGTTGAGCAAAGTCTCCCTGTCACTGAGCTCCACTGGCTGGGCCATGTTGGTCAGCACCTCAATACCCTTATCCAAAGCTTTCTGGAATGACTCCGAAATGATGGTGGGGTGAATTCCTGTGCATAGAGAAAGAAAGGCTGTCGGGCAGTTCATGCTCTCAAACCAATGGTTCGTTCTTTTTTTTCTTCACCTCCTTTTTTCCATTTGAAAATTCAAAAGACTCAGATCAGAATAAATGGAAGAAGATTCAGCAATATGTTCTTCACAGGTGCATGACCTCCCTTATTACCTTCCACCATTAAAACAGAAGGTAAAAGCTGTAACATTCCAAATAATTTGTCCTCATGGACAATTCCTGCCATGCCTGACATCCCACAAACACCATCCCCAAGTTCCCTTTGCCCCTGGCAATCTCAAAACTGCTGCTGTTCAGGTGATGCCTGTGAGGAGCCTGACAGGGATTTTATTTCAGATTTTATATTCAGATTTTCTCACAGTTCAGTAGGAAGCTCCTCAATTTCCCTGGAGTGGGATGCACCCTTTATCTTTTCAACTGAGAACAGCTGCTTTAAGTCTTTGTCATATACAAGTTGACAGAAGACTTTACTACTTGCATATTAAATATATATATGAATATATATATGAATCTATACATGAATATATATATATGAATATATATTTACCTTTTTGAAGGAGTCTGGAACAGGCATCCAAAAGAGCTCCAGCAATGACAACAACAGATGTTGTGCCATCACCAGCTTCAATATCTTGTGCTTTGGACAGCTCTACCAACTAAAGGAGAAATTATGACACAAGTTTATATATATATATAATATATATATTCCTGCTTACTTGCAAACACAATAATAAAAAATTAGATATTCAGGAACACAGCACTATGGAAATTAACTTTGATATTAGCTTGAATCATGTCTCTTTTTAATTTGAAGTGTGCACCTTCTGCAATTTCCATCCCACACTTGTACCCCCTGTTTGGCTGAAATAAAACTGTGGTCAAATAAATCACTTAGAGAAGCAAAGCTTTCTACTATCAAACAGCTTTAGCTTTTCCTTCCCTGGAGGAGGGTCACAGGAAGCTCATTTCCACCTCCAACCACAATCAGATCCAAGAGAAATACACTGAGCATCCCAAAGGACCAGGGTGCTGCATCCTCACAG